TGGTGCACACTCCATATCCGCTGTACAACACCTTTACCTTTGTCCTGAATGACTATCCTGATGTTTGAGCGAGAGATGATCTCGTCATGCCTCCATAAACAGTGAGCTATTGTCCTGTATAAACAATATTGCAAACCACAAAGATAAATTGTTCTTTGAGAAAAACAATATGTGCTAAAAATAGAATTAGATGGATATCACCTGATTTGTCCGGACGATGGATGATCCGCATATATAGTGTCCATGAATAATCTCTGATAATTTTAACGGTGTTTCAGCCACTCTCTCGAGATCGCAGCAGAGGTAGCGGGCCGTAGCAACAAAGGCGACGCGTAGCGAAAGCACGACGGCTCAGAACGCAGCTACGCATGGCAGCGTGAGGTCACAGTAGCAACAGCGACGGCTTATGAAGGGAATGGTTTTGAAAACGCGACGGCCGCAGAACTGGGCGGCTCAGAACAGATCCTCCAAGTCATTCTTTTCTTCAACAGGCTTCGGCTAGTTTCACTATGCAGTAGGTGCGTCTGCAGGGTGGACGCTGGCCCAAACTCCATCGAGGACGCATGGGACCTGTATTCACGGAGCAACGTCATTTCGACAGTCAACTAACTGACCCGTCCCAGCATTTGTTGCAATCAATTGTCTCTTCTTTAGACCTCATCTGGTTTATTTAGTAGCAGATGAAAAACCGATGATCCCTTGGCTTTCTCCAGACGGAGTACTGCACGGGCTCTACATCAGGTGACAGGTAGTTGGATCTTGGAGAGTGAGTACGTGTAACTAGTACTAATGTTAATCCATTGGATTGTGAAGTAGTACTTTCAGTACTTTGATCTTTCGTATGGATGCTTGAAAAATCAATTGATTTGACAGCGGATATGCCCCTGCTGCAATCTCGCCACTGAGCATCACACGGTCAGTTCCACCTAGGATAGTATTGGTGGCATCAGCAGCGGCGAAGGCAGGGCCGGCTTGAGGCGAATCTGCGCGACGGCGGCTCAGGAAGGCGCGATGGCACTCCAGCGGCAGCCTGACGGCCATGTCAGAGGGGCACTGGCGACTTGAGGCGGATGACAGCTTGGCACGGCTGTGTTTGAGGTAGCAGTGGCCTATAATGGCGGCAAAGCAAGCCCGCGGCAGCTCGGACATGCACGAAGCGGCGGCTCAACACGTCGGCGACTTAAAACAAGGGCATAGCTCATGGTGGCGGCTGGGAGGCAACACCAGTAAAGGAGACAACATGCCGACAGTTTAAGGCGATACCGCAACAGCTGTGGACGGGGCGAGGCATCCCTGGCGAGGCGGCTCAGCGCGGAGCGTGGACCGGCGGGTCGGCAGCGGAGGAGCGGAGGGCCAGTTCTGGCAGCGAGGCGGCGAGCTGGCGGAGGGTCGGGTCGAGGCATACTCAGCTGGCTGTGGTGGCTCGGGGTCCCTGGCGAGGCGGCTCAGCGCGGAGCGTGGACCGGCGGGTC